AGGCCCCGGGTCCCGCCGCAGTCGGTGTCCGGGCGGGGCCGGGGCGGAGAGCGGCGGCAGCCCGCGGTGCTCAGCACTGCGCTTCGGTGTTTTTCAGAAGGGCCAGTGCTAGCGCTCCCGGCACTCGAGGGAGCAGGAGAACTTGTGAGTTCAGTATTACAGAACCACAGGCGCTAGGTGGGATCTTCAAGGCTTAGAATGAGGTTTGGTTTTAGCCAAGATGTCCCGCTTTAACCTGTAGCTAGGGCTGGTAATCCAGTATAAGACCAGGTTTAAAAACACCCATGTTCCTCCCAGCAAAACATCTTAGATGTTTTTTTTTCTGCTCTGGCTGCAGAAAAGCTGATCTGTTTTTCCAAGACTTGCTCTGAATTCTTTTAGTTCCATAGCTAGATCTGGGTTTCACAACATACCCTAGGCCAAGCAAAGTCAATACATGCTGAACAACAGGAGAAAAGCCTCTCTTCTGGGAGAGAAGTTTCAAACTGAAGTGCTGTTATCTGTACCTCAAAGCTCCTTTCTGGTGCAGGTTACTGTGCAAACTTAGAACTAGGCAGAGACAGACTGACAAGTCTAGGCCTTCATGTAAGTAACTGTACACAACTGCAAGAGCTGTCTGATGTCACCATGCCATTACATGACACGATTGGTTCAGTTTCCTCCACGTCACTGCAACGTTTTTAGTCATTCAGCACAATTATTTTTTATTTACTTAAAACTGACACGTCTAATACCTGTTCTCTCTTCCAGCCTTTTATTAGCTGATGAGCTGGCAAAATGCATTTCTTCCCTCTTTTCCCTTCCTAATCTTTGGAGTGGTCACAGCTGTGACAAAGAGTTTGTGCAGCATCTCCCCTGCTGCTTCAGAGTTGACTATAACAGAACCAGTCCATAGACGGCCCTGGAATCTGAGGCAACTTAAAAGAGATGCAGTCTCTCTTACAGCTTAGTCACAAGAATGGTAAAGTAGCAAACCTGTGAGCTAGAACTTTGTTTTTAATACTGGAAACTAAATCCCTGGTGAAGTTGGGGCACGGGGAGAGACCGACTAAGCTGTGTAGATGCCAAGATGCATGAACTGCATGTGCACATTTGTTTACATTCCAGCCTGAGCACTAAAATGTCTTTATGCATTTGAACTGCTGTTTGGAAGTACCTGCTCATCCATTTCAGTAGGAAAGAAACAGCAACTCTGTCCCTTTCACAGGGAAGTCTCACTTTGCTATTTATAACTGTTGTGGCATTTAAGAGAATCCCTTTTTCCCTTGTTCTGGGATACTCTTTTATCAACCCCTCTGCCCTAATGAATGGATTCTAAAGCTTAGGTTCAGGTTGTAAGCTTTGAAGTGTGTTAACATTTTTTCTCCCATTAGTGTTCACAGGCAGACAACCAACCGCCCCCCCCCAGCTGGAGGAAGGCCTAAACCACAGCCAAAACCCAAGCCCCAGGTACCACAGTGCAGGGCACGGTACGCCTACGATGCTCAGGACACGGACGAACTCAGCTTTAATGCCAACGATGTGATCGATATAATTAAAGAAGGTACGTAGAGAGAAGAGATTGTTATTGCAGTGCCAATCCTGAAGGCATGCTGTCGCAAGCCCTCAGGATGTGACTTCTGGAGCCATCCCAGAGTTCCCTTCCCTTACCAGGCTTGCAAATGTCTGTGACAGCTCAGGGAGCAGAGAAGCCTCCCCACCCACACCAGCAAACCTGTTCACTGAAAACTACCTCAGAGACAGATCAGGACCCGTTCATTACTTGGTACTGCAGATCTGTACGTTTAGTTAGTTATTCTATCACAGGCTCTAGCCTAAACCACAGCTATAGCACAAGAAGCAAAAAGCAAGCAAGCACTTCCAACACTTGGGTCTCCAAAGCAACCTCATGAGGCATAAGGCAGATAGTGATGTGACCAAAAGATTACCCAGCTCAGGTTCTCCATTTCTCCTCCAACCTTCACAAGAAAGCTCTCACTGTGTGGATGGACCAGCTCTGCAAGGCTGCCTCAGAAAACATACAAAAAGTCTACAGAACCTCACTAAAACCGCCTTTGCTTGCTTTATCCTAGATCCCTCTGGCTGGTGGACAGGAAGACTACGAGGGAAACAAGGTCTGTTTCCTAACAATTATGTCACCAAGATATAAAAGACTTCCGGACAAAAATTGGCACAAAGGTCCCCATGTTGAAGATGATCTCTCTTGCCTTCAGGACACTGTTCTTCGAGATCTGCCATTCTCAGCAGTATTTTCACCAGTAATGTTGTATATGAGCAGGAAGAAAATTACCCACAGCACAGACTTTGATCTTTTTGTGTCAGAAGCATAATAGAGCAATGGTCACACCCACCTATTATTTATTGTATTTAAAACCTGGTTTTAACACCTAGTGAGGAAGAATAACCTCCCATCCTCATGAAACAGCAAGGTGCCTGGCAGTCTGGGGCCAGGGACCCTCAAAGGGGTGTATTTCATAAGTGCCTTCAGCTGAGTGTCAGTAATCTCTGTGATTACCTACTGAAGATAACGTTAAGTGCACATTTCCTCTAATGGAGATCATTCCGGGAACACGCTGAGTATGCTGCTACCTGCCAGAAAGATTCAGGCTCATTTGGCACATTTACCATCGAAAAACCTACTGTGATGGTGTATTTAAGTAATTCTGTACAGAGTTGTGATGGAACTGGTTTGTGTTTAGGGGACTCCCAACAGGCATTGCAAGACGTTAGAACAGCAAACACATAGTACTGTATGCTAAACAATGTTGCCTTCAAGATTTATATTATAATATGGCTGGCCCATGTTGGATTTGTTTAATGCTCTACCTGTTATAGGAAGTGTCTTTATGCAGAGCTGTACATTTATAGAAACAGATCATAGACTGTATATAAAACTGAGTATGATAGAAACACCTATGAATGTACAATGTAGTATTCCACTGTTCTTATTCATGAAGTAGTTCTACTAGAATTTTTATGCCAGGTACTTACAGATATGCACTACTCCTTCTAAGTGGCAGAAGCATTACTGCTGAGTCTCATTCCCTCCGCACCGGAGTGGCTCTTGCTTGCCATCCAGTTATCAGCATTCAGGCTTTGCCTTCGGAACCTCCATAAAATAAAACTCCAGAAGCAGTTTGCTGAACAGGTCTGTGCAGTTTGTTTTCAGTTACACGTACAAACAAATCCCTTCACAAAAGCATCTGCTGGGTTTTACTACACCAATTTATAAAGAAAAAACTTTCCTTCCTCGGCTCCACACAAACCCTTTTCACTGTGCCCAGCTGAAGTGCACTGCATTACATTTTTTCTTAACAGCAGTTAAAAACCCTGCGTATGGCAATATTAAGAAGTTGCATAAGCTTTAAGACAGAGCTAAAAGTCTTGAATCCCCTCCCCTCCTACACAACTGCCCAAGGCACAAACCAAGTGTAACTTGGGCACAGTTCAACGCCATCACCTTTAAGAGCTGGCTGACTGCAGCAGCTCTGCTGGACACTGGGGCCTCAGTCCCATAGGCAGTGCTGCCGCAGGCGGCGTCCTACAGGAGAGAAAAGCCTCCTGCTCAAGATGAAGCCCTGTAGCTCCAATAGCTCTCTGCCAGGGGAGCAGCGAGGTCCAGCCCATTTCCGTGGTGGTGGGTTCTTGCCTCCTACCTGCCAGCCAGCGTGCTTGGGCGAGGAGACGCTGGCACAAGGGAGGCAGCGAGTTCAGTGTCACTTAAGAGAACACCTAAGGGTCTGCAACGGAACTTTATGTACACAGGAAGAACCAAGTTAACAAACAGCCTTAAAGGAGGTCTTGGGGCAGACAAGTTGCATTACTTACATGCTTGTATTCCTTGAGCACATGTACAGGTACTGGTATTACAAAGGAAAGCAAAACGTTGGTAGAGAGGTTACTGGGGGCAGGTGAGTGAGTGGACAGGCAATGAAAAGGCAGGGTGGGGTTTTCTGCCCAAGAAGTGGAGGAGGTTTTAAGAGCTGGGCTGGTTTGGAAGGTCTCATCCCACCTACAGTTCCACACCTGCAGCCCCTGCACACAGTGGCTGTCAGCAGCACAGGAGACTCTTCCCACCTTTGTGCCCTCCATGTAGGTACACAGAGAGCACACTGTTCACCTGAACACCCCCAATTACAAGGCTAACACCTGTTCCAGCCAGCCTACTTCCTTCCCCAAACCTGAAGGCAACAAACTATGAAGAAAGAGATTCCTATATACTCCTCTGGGACAAGGCACTGAAATAAAGTACATATTTAGCATCTTTTAAGGTACGCCAAGAAAAGATGAACTTGTCTGCCTGCTCTTCAAGAATGAAACCAACAAGATACTAAATATAACCTGCTACAAAGCTTTGAAAGTCTCACTGGAAACAACCACTTAGAATAATCATCCCCATCAAACAGAAAGCTGTATCCATCACCTGTTTAGCCAACTGTCCTGCTCCAACATTAGACTGTAGACATGGCTACATAGTGCCATAAAGATTCACAGTCACAATACTACCTTTTTTTTTTAAATTTTTTTTTTTTAAAGAGATGAGCTTTATTTCTAGGTAGAGAGTTTTACTACAAAGGAAGTTTAAAATTTCACTTTCCGAGTGAGTCTGAAATGTCTGTGGTGAGGCTGGAATGTTATGTACAAGGAGCAGTAGTTTTGCCTCCCTAGGCAAGTATGGACAAAGTGCATATACCGTCAGGACTGGGCTGCCTGGGGTTTCATAGGAGTGAGGAAGCCAGGTCCTTGATGATCTCGCTGCTCAGCTGCGGGATTGTGCTGACGGCCAGTAGTTTGCTGCTTGCATACTTGTTCTTTATAGCCTGCAGAGATAAAGGGACAGTGTTATAAAAGATTCATATGTACAGTATTTATGTTCAGGCAGATAAGTTTGAGTCAGTTAGCCCAACTGCTCGCACAACAACCAAACGAGGTTAGAAGGGAACCAGCTTGCAAAGGAGCAAGAACAGTTTGTCTACAGTGTCTTGTAGTAGTATTAATGTAACATCCTCTCAGAGGTCAGAATAGCACATGCTTTAAGATAGCATACAGAACATCGACCCAAGGAGCCATAATATGCAGCAAAGTTCTAAAACATTAAAAAGATTTAAGTAGCTATACTTACGGTGTATTTTGTTAACTTCTCGTTTACTTTGACCACATTCTTGGCCATGTGTTTCACAGTCATCACAAGACTGTCTTCTGTGTACCCCGTGTAGTACTGCTGCTTCGTACCCTGCAGCGTAAGGGTAAGAACAGAGGAGACTGATCAAACGGGCACTGCTGTTCGAGGTACAGTCCCTTCAGGCAGCAAACGCCCTGATCTTCCCACACCAGCCTTGTGTGCCAGGAACTCCAGTACTGTCACTCCAAGCAGAGGTCTGGGCACGCCAGTGCAAACATCCACATTACACTGCCCCGAGGATAAAAGCTGCAACCCTTGCAAGAGTAACCACTGCCTGAATCACAATGCACTATTCATGGTCCACAATTTCATTATTCTACGTGTACTGTGAAAATTACAAAAATCTACCTCTGTTTACAGCGTGGCCTCCTGTAACTCAATACTTTAGAGAGGAAAAAACCCTTTTGTACCACAGCGTTCACACAGAAAAAGACACAAAGCTTTTGGTGGCATGTTCCTTTTTCTACCTGCTACTACGCGTCAGGCTGTCCAAGAGTCCTTTGAGCACCAGCATTATTACTGATTTAAATGCAATTTTCTGAAGTAGTTCTTTTAGTTCAATTAACCAAGGAAAACAATCTTGACAATGACTCTGATTAAACCACTTACCCATTTATTAGGTCCCAGAATCTTCTGGGACAAGTACAAGGCGGCAGCTGCGATCTCTGATGGACGATGGTGAACCATGTCATAGTCGATCAGCGTCAGCTCCATTAGGTATTTTGCTAGTGTATGTTGCTTAGCATCGGCCTACCAGATTGACAAATTTGTTAATCCACAGTTTAAATTCACCTCATCACAGTAATTCAGGATTGTTTATTGCATTCATTAACGGATAAAACAGTTACTAAGGTCTAACAACCATACTCTGAACAGCTCATCTCAGAATCGAGACCAAGTCTAGTCCAGCAGCCAGCCAGAGTTCAGACACAAAAAGTCAAGTGAGGGATGTGAACAGCCCAATCAGGGACCCACGCGCTCCCGCTGTAACACACTAAGCAGGGGGAAGTGTGAGATGACTTAATGAATCCCTCTTAAAGCAGGCAGCCAACGCCAAGTGTTACCCAGTGGTCTGTGAAGGCCATTGCAGCCCACTTCAAGTGTGGACAATTCGTTCAAATGTAACCACTGAGGTGGGGAAAAAGGGTCTGATCAAAGACTACCTTTTGATTCTTAAACAATGCAACATTTGCACCCAAAAATTATGAGTAACTGTAACACTGCTGCCCTTTTACTAGGGAATACCCTGATCACCAGACAAAAAGATCACTCTAAAAGCAAGGGTTCTGCTCTAGGTGTGTTTACTCTAACAGTAAAATTACTGCCACTAAGACTGAACACAGGCCCCAGTACATACAAATGTGAACAGCTACTGGCTGCCACGGGGATGCTGTCACATTACTCCAAATGGTGGAGTTACGTGGCTGAGTATTTCTCAATCCTGCATGTAAGAAGAAAACAAGATCCCATGATAAAAATTCCAGAAATGATCCTAATAGACTTTAAACATGTAGGGAAGTTCTAGATAATGAGGACAAGTACCCACCTCCCCAGCTTTTGATGCTCTTCTTAAGAAGTGAATTGGAAGAGGTCGCCCCAAATCGAAGTTTAACTCTTTAAGAATAGTAATCTCCATTTCTCTAACTTCATCACTGGTGTAGGCATTGTCAGTAATGTAAACAAAGTCAGCTACATCAGGAGAGAACATCTCTTCATATTTTGAAGCTACAAGCAGTGCTGTTACACCCACCAGCTGAAGCCTCTTACGAGGTACTGGATGACTCTGCAATATAGTAATTTAAAAAACAAGACCCAAAACGTCAAACTCTAGATAAACAGATTCTAAGTTATCAGTTTAACATAGCAGTATGACAATGTTCATTCCTATAATGTCAATGAGATTTTCCACTTGGGAGTCAGAAGTGTCCCCATACTGACAGAAGACTGGAGCCTCGGAGCCAAGATGCTCCATTTTACAGAGCTCTGGCACAAAGAGCAGATTTCATAGGGTCATAGATGAAACTCCTTTAAAAGCAGAGTCATGGAGCAAGTCTCCTAATCCAAATGGGAGTTGAAAAATATCCTACTTACTTGTAAGAAGCGATCCATAACTGCCACACACATATACAGTGTTTCCTGCAAAAGCTGGAACCTCGAGTGGACCTGGACAAGCCAGTCAACTAAAATTGCACGCATGCGCCCGTTGATCATCTTCCCATCGAGGTAATGCGGCCGAACTGACTGCCGCAGCTGTGGAGAGAGAGCTGTGTGAGCACCAGGGCTGACACCACGCTGCAGAAGCCCAGACTCACCATGTCATACCTCAAGCTCTCTCAGGTACAGGTAGATTTCTTTTACGTAGTCACTGCACAGCTGGGGATTCCCCCCATCCTCAGCATCAATGTCTTCTACGTTGTTGAGCAACACATCAGAGAAGGCTTGGCACAAATCCTCCTCTTGCATAGATACATCCATAGGGACAGGAGACAGAACCTACGGAACAAATCATAGTGCCTATGTATCTCCTGTTTTACCTGCAGCATTCCTTTGTTTCCACATTTTTCCAGCTACTGGTAGTTTCTTGAGAGAAGCTAGAACGGAGCTTGCACTCCAGTGTGGCAAGCTTTCACCAAGATGCCACACTGACAGAATCAGAAGACCTACTAACTGCCAGCTAAAGCAGAAACTTAATCCAGTACTTCAACAGCTAGTTCTGTCACTTTAGCGTTATCCTTTAAACACAACATGCATTAAACCAAAACCTCAGTAGAGGCTTTCCTTTTTAGCAAGGAAATGAGATACATCTACAAACAAACTATTCTGAAGTTAGAGCTTTAACTCACAAGTCAAATTAAGAGTCAGAACAGTATCACATTACTTCCTACCTTTGGAACTGCAGCTTCGACTGCTTGTTTCACAGCACCTGGAGGCTTAGGCAGTACAGTCACATTTGTTGTCTTACTAGGGCCTTTCATAGGCTTTATGGATGCTTTGGAGCATTCTGTTTTCTGTAGTGAAAACAATTACTATTAGCACAGAGTTAGTAATCCAGCTTTTTTTCCATATAGATGGATGTCAGATGTTTCTTTACCTTAGCTATACGTGTTCCTCTTGTTGCAACTTTATTGCCTATTTCTTCCAATGCAGCCCTTTTGCCAGCAAGATGAGTTTTGGCTTTACTTTTAAGTTCAGGCGCAGCATTCTCCACTCCTCTAGTGACCTAAACCGGTAAAATTGCAGCTTAAGAGTCAGAGGACCAGCTTTATTTCATTTTCAGATGCCTAACTCCATTATACACTGATCACCACTGTACCAATGTGCCTCTTGCGTGCTATCCACTACTCAACCTGTTCACACATGCTCAGGGAAGAAACCTCTTCAGCAGAGATTTCAGAGTACTGTACTCCCTGAAACTGTGTTTCAAGATTAGAGCAATGCACCCTATCTCCTTCTTCCCCACCGACAACTTTTAAGGTTAGAGTGCTTGCCTACTACTTATTTACATGCTTTGTAACTACAGCAGTATTCCCACAAAGAGCACTATTTCTTTATTAAATACATGCCACGCAAATTACCGAGTTACATTATGCATACAAAAGTAAACACCCTTTGTTGTTACACACAGCAACGAAACCATCACGTTTCAAGAGTTTCTCAAAGTTTAGTTTAAACCCACTGGGCAATCAGCACAGAAACAGGCTCTTGTGTTCCCTTCTCGCACCTTCCCGTTAAACAGTTTAGATTTTCTCCCTCCCGCACCCTGAGGGGGAGGAGCAGGCGGCCAAGGCCAGGTGCAGCACCCCGCGGGGGGAGCGGGGCAGCGCGTCCGCCCGCCCTCAGCCTCCTCCTTCGCCTCCCCCCGCTCCACTCCACTCCGGCCGCTGCCCTGCGCGAAAGCACCGGGGGACTCCCGGACAGACAAAGCGCCGAGAGCCCC